ATCTGCGCCGGGTCCTGTCACTAGGAGCCTGAGCTGCCTCCACCCGGAGCTGCCGCACTTCCAGGCCAGTTCTGCTCGCCCCGTGGGACTGGGGCGGTGAGGGGCGCGCTGATTTCCTCTCTGCCGGTGCTCCTTCACCTGTAGGCCCAGACCCTGTGAAAAGTGCTGGAAAGACACGGAGGTCCTCACAGAAACATGGCGTGCAATTTCTGAGCTTCACAGACACACCGCCAGGTGACCCCCTAGACCTGGATGAAGCACCCCAGCTTTACCTGCCCTCCCTCTCCGTGGACTTAGCTGTGCAATCTCACACTGATGGAAACTAGAAAACTTTCCTGAGCTCTGCTCTCCCACTGCATAGGATGTCTAGGTAAAAATGTCAATGGAGCCCTGACCCCGTTGTTCAATTGGTTGAACGTCCTCCTGTAACCAAAAAAGGTTGTGAGTTTGATTTCCAATCAGGGCACATACCTAGGTTGCAGTTTGATCCCAGGTGAGGGGGCATGCAGGAGGCTATCGATTGAAGTTTCTCTCTCTCATAAATAAATACATCCTCAGGTGAAGACTATATATATATATATATATGATCAATGGACATCCTATTGCCTAAGAAATAAAGTTCAAATTCTTTATCCTGAAATATAAAATTGGCTGAAACCTATGTCTGCCCTAAGATCATCTCCTGAGCGTCCCCAAATACTCCTTGCACTTTGTGGTCTTGGGATCTGGGTACACCCTCATTTCTTTATTTGGAATGCCAACCCTCAGGGTTTAGCTCAAATGCCTCTTCTCAGATGACTTCAATCCAAGGAGGAGCGCGCTAGAGAGGACTGAATACTTGTGCCCCCCTTTCCCAGGAGGGCGGTGGCTGCAATGGCTCTCAAGCAGTTGGGCCATCCCGAGGCCACCGGGTCAAGTCTCTTAGAGAGATAAGCTACGGGGCGTTTCCATGGTCCTAGGGGTTGTGTGAGGACCCCTTTCGCCACCCCTTTGTTTTCAGCTACATATAGCTGAAAGGATTTGGTTAAGTCTGGCAGGGCAAAGCCGGGACGCTCACCAGGGCCTCTTTCAGTTTCTTATAAGCATCTTCCTCCTTTTCCATCCAGACTAGGGCAGGCTCCTTTCCCCCCATTGCAGAATATAGTGGTTTTGCAATTTCTGCAAAACCTAGTATCCATATTCTGCAATATCCCACTGCCCCAAGGAACTCCCGGACTTGCCTTTTGGTGGTGGGCCTGGGGATTGACAAGATGGCCTTTATTCTGCTACTGGATAAAGTTCGCCTACCCCCTTCTATGTTGTAACCCAAATATGTTACTCGGGTAGTGCATAGCTGAGCTTTCTTGGTTGAGACCTGATACCCAAATTATCTAGGGTGGTCAGCACCTC